TTTTAATAGTAAAAATTGACATGTTTCACAAAAATTTTACATAGCTATGACAGTAGACATGTCGATCGCGTGAAATCCTGTCTGACTGATATATTAAATAATAAGATTTTCTATATATATAACCAATTTTTTACGTAAGCTTATTAAAGAAAGTTTGGGGTCACTAAAATTGAGCTTAGAATACAATTGGAAATTCATGTGAAAAGATAAAAACTTGGATTGTAAAACGAACCTATCCTTGTGAGCATGACGACACGTAAAAACTTGTTTTTATTACAATTGGAATTTCATAAATAACAAAAGCCCCAATGCAGGCACCAAGTCATTCTGACATTGTGAGCGTAATAGTAACTATTATTAGCGGTGACACATAAAAACTTGTTTCTTATCTTTCATCTCGTCATTGAAGGAATAAAGTTTGCGTGTCACTAAAATTGAGCAATGAAAAATCTTTGTTTGATGAACTGATAAACAAATCTGATGCCACAAAAGTGTTGGATAAGCTAAAGAAAAAATTAAAAAAACCAGGTTTATTAAATTAAAATAATTTGTTATAAAAATGCTCTCTCTCTCTTTCACTTCAAATCATTTTTTTTTCTTTAAAAATTTATTAAAAACATGCCCAAAATACCTTCAAAAAAACACACAACTTATTTATACTTTGTTACAATTCCTTCAACAAGATTGCAACATGAATTAGCAGCATAGAAACATACTTCTCATAATGAACAACAAACCCACAAAAGAGACTATTAATTTCTGATAATTCTGCTGTGCTGATACTTTGTTTGAGGCAGAGCTTTGTTGCATGCACAAATTTTGCCCATCCATTTAAATGCCTGAATAAAACCAAAATCATTAAAGATCTAACCTCAAAAAAATTATTATTTACAAGTCTGTCTACCTTTCTGGAAGATGGCCTTGTAAAAGTGGCAGTGAATATAATACCACCCAATTTAACCAGTCTTCTGCTTTGAGTGCTGCTAAATGTCGCTGAATATCAATGGGTGGATGACCAAAATCTAATGGCATGTTCCTTCGATTCTTTTTCCATTATTCTTCCTATTTCTATCCAATCACTATTAGAAAGGATGTAATCAGAACCAGAACTTTGATCATCTTTAAAAAAAGTACCAGACCAATGCTGAAGCATTGATGGTGCAATATTCTCAAATAATCCATGCATAATGTCAACAGGAAATGATGCTGGAAATTCAATTGACTTGAGTTCAAACAATATGCTTTGGCCATTCAGACCTATGAAAATTTTCTTAATTATTTTGGAATATTCACCAAACATTCAAAACCAATGAATGACATACCTCATTCTTGTACTTCACGCTTGTGTAATGGCCCATTCATACATTCTACAGCTGTTGCATCACATATATAGTCTTTATGCATTCGTAATGGAAGATTTTTGGGATCATATTGGTTTCCTAACATACTGGTTGGAGGCTTAAGTGGAAAGTATACATGTTGATTGCCTTTACAATATACTCCACGAATGGAACAAAAACAGCATGCTTTATATGAGTTGTGCCCAGTTGTGTACATAACCTTAGCAAGAGCTGGAAGATCACCAGAAAAACTTAAGAGATGTGCATGGAGGGTGAAGTTATTTTCTGTTTTACCATCAAAACACTGAATACCTTCTGCATTCATTATCACAAATTAATATTATAAGTAATTCATTATTACTGACATATATCAACATAGAAAAAGAAAAAATAAATAAATATCTTTTATTATATATGCATTTAATAAAAATACATTGGTTCAAAGTAAACTTGAAATTTTTCGAATGAAATAACTTTTCTATTGATAATGAATGTTGTTGATACAAACAAGTAAAATCCTATTGTTGTATAAAAAACCTTATAATTTTGTTATTCAAAGAATAATCTCAGAATTACCTTCTCAAAATGTGTTGTATTTGCTTAAGTATAAGTTTGTAAATATAAGATATAGGATAATAAATTGCATATATTTATATTCCTTGAAATTTCAAGAAGATTTGTTATGGGAATAAAAAATATTAATCATAAAAATTAAAAGTTATATTTGAAGAGAAAATTTGAATTTGAATTCTTTCGTAACGTTACACTTATGTAATTGCAGCAGATACGAAATGATCACCAACTGTTAAATTAATAGAATCCGTTATAAGAACGTTGTTTAATAAATAATAATAACTAACAATTAAATTATTCTATTTTGATTTTTATTATTTCTACAATAATGGGATGGGATAATATTCAAGATCTGCAGATTCAGCAGAACCACCAACAATAGTTAATGAACAGCCTATAATTTCCTGTGTGTCTTGATTTTGAACAGCAGCTGAAATACCGTATGGATTAGGTAATGTTGCTGGCACATTAACATTCAATACTTGAGAAAATGGTGTTTTAGGGTCGGTTGGCGCAGAACTTGGATCACCTATGGTATCCCCAGTTTTAGGATCAAAAAATGCAACACCGGTAATGTCGCCATCGATGACAGCACGACTTAGTGTTCCAGAAATACTAAATTCATCAGTTTGTCCAGGAATGACAGGATCAGGTGAAAGTAAAACAAGGAGTTGAGGTGGTGGTGGTACTCCAGGACCTGAACTAGGACATCAAAGATCAAAGGCAGTATTTCTTTTAAGAAGTTGACGTGGAATAGCATTTACCACCATGGAGAGCGTAGCCAATAAAAGGAAAGCAAAAATAAACTTCATGATTTCTTTGTAAAGATAGGGTTTTATTTGTGAAAAGTTTTATTTATGAAAGTAGAATTTTGATTTTATTTGTGAATTTAATTATTGGTCAGAGTAAATTGAAATCACTGCCTTTTTATAAGAAACAAAGTTACCCAGACCAATTGTATTTCATATTCACGAAAATAAGTAATTGTGAAATTTAAAAAATAAATTTGCATGTAAATTATGGACATTAATTACATAATTACTTCATTTAAATTTACTATTGTAAATTACGGTTCTTTGATGCTTTGAGAAATCCCAAAATTGAATGTGCGTGAATTTGATTCACTTGCATGAAATTCAATCAGCCAATCAGAATTTTGTATCCAAATTAAGTTTCAGAAGCATAGTGGACACTGTTGCAGATCACAAAAAAATGATCAACATAACATATGTTATAGTGAAAGTTCTTGCAAAAGTTTGATTATAAAAGTGTGAGATAATTTTGATCTTGCTGATGATCTGGACTTAGAGAGGCTACAGCTATATTCTAGTGAAGTTTCAGAAGCAACGGGCTCTGTGTAACCACCTGCATATTATACAAATGACTGCTGCACAAAATGAGTGTCCATTATGCTAGTTTCAGGTGTATGAAATTTTTGAATGTAGCATGTTACACTTGTGCATGAAATTCAAATTGGCCAATCGAAACTACGAACTCAAATTCAGTTTCAGATGTATGAAACTCCATTTTAATTCATTATCCACTATTGACATTACCTCGGAGATTATGTACTGAATTTCATATGGAGGTGATTGACATAATTCAGCGTTTAATGAACAACGAGTCTCTTTTTTAAATTAACGAGAATTGCCCCAAGACAAGGACGTTTATTAAGAAATTGGTTCTACGTAAAATCATTACATATGATTGATGAATAAAAAGAATGAATAGATTCAAAATAGTGTTGTGAATAATTATTTGTTTGAGTGAAAGAATAATTAATATTATCCCTCATGTAAACTCATTTATGCAATCCTCATCCATTTTTCACTTATACCTACTTATAACACGTTATTTATGTTATATTATTTAATATTGTCATTAATTTTTATATTTACATGTTGCTTTAAATAAAAACAAATTCAAATTTATGAATTTCCGAAATTTTTATTCACTAGTATTAAAACATCTAGATAAAATATGGCAGTATTCTTTGACACAACCACGCTACAACAAATGCAAAAAACAATCCCGACAAGTATTCTGACTAATATCTAGGTTGGCAACATCATCTATTGTTCCATTGCAGATTTCTTTGTCAATTAATTTATTATTTACAGTAAATATATGACCAACTATGTTTGTTATATTCTAATTTTGATGTTGATTATATTGGCCTAATTTTCAATTTAAAATATTGTTGGTCGCCAAAACTCAAACTAAAATTGAAAGTTATGTCAAAATTAAATCAAAAGTCACAAGTCAAAACTAAGTTCGACTTGTGGCAAAACCTTTTGACTTTCGCACAGTTGAAAAACTCTCGTTTTGAAAACCAACGCTAACTTAAATGGACCACCACCACGCTTTTTCTGCGATATTGCTATAACATCTTGCAAATGCTGTAATATGAAACAATTTCCATACAGATAATCTGTAAACTTGCAGACTTGATACTGGTGGCAATTGAATCAATATCCTACATTAAACTCTTCGAAATCTGGGTCTGGGCAACAATTATCGTTTTTAAACCATACAAACATACTCAAAAATTAAATATTTAATTTGAATATATACAATTTACTTTGTAACTATTTCAAATATTTTGGATATTTGTAATCATTTTGGACATCCATAATTATTTTAATTAAAGAATTTTTTAGTATGTACATTTCATAATGGAAGAGGTATTAGGATCACAAGATTATTTAGATTATTTACAAAGAGAAGATGGTAAATAACAGTTTTAGATATTTTATAATTTTGACAACATTCAGGCATTTTGTTTCAATAACATTTAGGCATTTTGACATTATTTAGGCTTTCGACATCAATTTAGACTTTCAACATCGATTTAGACTTTCGGCATCAATTTAGTCTTTCGACATCAATTAGTCTTTCGACATCAATTTAGACCTTCGACATGCCAAATGTTGAATGACGAAACGTTTCGACTAACAACTCTATTTCAAACGAATAATAATAAAAATTAAATCCTGAATTTTCTTAGCTCTAAACTAAACAAATTTTACAAAATTTGTAAAATTGTAACAATGTTAGTTTACACTTTATATATTTTAAAAAAAGCAACTGACATTTATTTAATTGAATCATAAAGAAAGTTTCAATACTATTATTCCATTTTGATTTGATTTTACAAAGAATCAAAATAACTAAAGTCCAATCAGATTCTTTGAATCAAACGTCTAACGAAAGTAAAAAATCTGTTTCCAAAAATATTTTATTATGTAGGATGATAATTTTATTACTTGTGCGTGAATTTGGTGAAATTCAAAAATTAGCCAATCGGAACTTCGTATCCAAATTCATTTACTTAATCTGCAGATCGGGGAAAATTCCTTTTTTTGTTAAACATAATTAAACAAGAAGTTCGTTGTAGCAAGCAGATCAAGTCAAAAAATAATATAAAGAAATAAATATTTATGTGTTTTTTATTAATATTAAATAAACATTTTATATTGCGCATTTTACAATATAATAAATAAAAGATTTTAAGCAGAAAGGACGGGGGACAGAGTCACATTCGCCACAACCTGTCCCTTGATTTCGCTTGTCCTTTTCTATGTTTTATCATAAAATACCTGTCCCGCGCCTGTCCTTTTTCTAAAATTTGTAAACAAATATTGAAAAGGACTGGGAACAGGCATTAGCCACGATTTCCTGTGCCTTGTCGTCCCAGAAAATGTGAAAACAGTTCCAGACATCAACTTTATTGGTGACCAACACTATTTTAAATTGAAAATTAAGCCAATATAATCAACATCAAATTAAGAATATAACAAACATAGTTGGTCATAGACAAAGAAATCTGCAATGGAACAACAGGTGATGTTGCCAACCTAGATATTAGTCAGAATACTGTCGGGGTTGTTTTTTGCATTCATTGTGGCATGGTTGTGTCAAAGGATGCTGTCATATTTTATCTAGATCTTCTAGTGAATAAAAATTTCGGAAATTCATAAATTTTCAATTGACGATCCGTCTATGAATCGGTGAACTCTAAATAAGGATTGGCGGAGGAAAAATGTTTCAATTTCATTAATTGACGACTTTGTATATAAAAAAATGGTACTATAATTTAGTACAATAAAAATTTTTATTTTTTTATTTTAAGTTATGAAACAAATGTCAAGGAAAATATTTATACATTTATTTTTTAAGAATATCGAAAAAAAAGAGGTTTACTTTTGGGGATGTAGAGATGAGTGAGGTATTTCATATATAAAAAAGTTTTTTACGTTTATGTAACTTATTAAAAATAACAACAAAAACGAGCGTATAATTATTTTTAATCGGAGTTTCTGTATTACATCAAATGATTGAGCTTTTATTCCAATAAAATTATTTCGAACTCCGAAACTATTTTTAAAACTTCAAACTTTAAAAAAAACAAAATGATGACATAAGTGCTTTATGTGAGAAAAGGCGTAATTAGATCTTTTTCAAAGACAAACAAAAATGAAATAGAAAATAAATATTTCCAAAAAAATTTATTTAAAATTTTATCATGTGATGGAGATGTAGAGGATGTTTTTGTAGTAAGATAATTTCCTCCGTTTTTTAATAGTTAAAGGGAATCGACATTTCACTGATTCATAGCCCTGTAAAAATTTACTCCGAGGTTAGTGTTTTTCCATTTCCGTGTTTTTTTAATAAAATGGATAAAGCTCGGATAAATGACTGAGCATTTACTGAACAAATTGATTAATATTAATAAATGGATAAAGTTCGGATAAATTGTTGAATAAATTTAATTAATAAATAAACTTCAAGTAGTCTGCTAAATATGGCTCCCCAATTAATTGCGACTAGTTGCAACTAATTGCAGCATATGAAAATTGAATTGCAACTGATTGTAGTACTCATGAGTGATCTGCACGAGTATCCAGAGTAACCTGGAGCAACCCATGGAGTATTAACCCAATAAATTTAACCGGGTTGGTTGGGTTAACCCTTGCTCCACAATAATATGAACCCAAACCAACCCATTATGTTCCATTAACAACCTAGTATTAGGTGTTACAGTACTATTATGGTATTAGGATTTACAGCATTAACAGCATTTACGGTTTACGACTTTTATGACTTTGAGGTCTCATGCTGAAAAACATTTACGGCTAATACGTAATGCCGAATTTGCCGTAATTATGGAATTCCGACGACAAGTATATTTGAAACATAAAAAATGATATTTCTCACAAATTATTCAATACAAATAATATTTTTATGTATATATTTATTATTATTTTTTATTTTTTATTTTTTTTTGTAAAAGAAGTTACTGTTACTGTTACCGTAACGTAACGTAACGTAACGTAACGTAACGAAACGAAACGTAACTGTAACTTCTAAACGTCCTGTTTCTCAACTTTATTAAACTGAATTTTTGGGGAAGGAAGAGATCAAAATCAAAGGGTATAACATTATGATGA